CCCAAAAAAAAAAAAAAGAGATGTAGACTTCTCTGCTACACTCTAGACATGCACATCCACCTGCCTTATTGACATCTCCACATGGATGTCTAATGCGGGCACCACAAACTTACCACATCCAACTCAGAGCTCTCAATGCTCCCCTAAATCTGCTCTTCCTACAGGCTTCCCATGTTTTCAGTCATGCAGGTCAAAAACTTCAAGATCATCCTTCAAACCCCTTTCCCTCATACCTTTCATCAAATCCAAACAACAAATTCTGTTGGCTGCACCTTTAAAATATATCCAGAATTCATTACATTTTATCACCTTCAGTATGTCCACACTAGTCTAAAATCCTGTCATCTCTCCTGGATTACTGCAATAGATACTCTACCTCTATTCTTGCCCCCCTTCAGCCTATTCACTCAGCATCCAGAGTCATGGTTCTAAAATTTCATGTCATATAACTCCTGTGCTCAATACCCACCTAACTCCAGATATGATGCTAACCTTGACCTTTATGACCCTTTCTTTCATGATTTCACTCCAATTACACTATCCTCCTTGTCATTTAGGAGCAACTGGAGGAATGCTCCAGCCTCAGGGCATTTGTACTGGCTGACCTTCTGATTAGATACCTACAGGATGGTGCTTTTCCTTCACATTTCTGAGGCCTTCCTTCTTTGATAACCAGCAGGCTCCTCCTGCACATCCTGCCTCCATTTTCCACCACAGCATTTATAACAATCTGGCATGCCATGTTGACTCCATAAGGGCAGGACTGCAGTGTGTTCTAAAACAGCTCAAACCCATTCCAAGCAATGTATATTTTGTTCTGCTGGGTTCTATACAACTTGATCAAAACCTTGATTTTTATTGCTCTATTTGCTTTAAGCAAAGAGAACTGTGTTAAAACAATTCCTAAGACTTATATTGCAATTCTGCAACTCTCTGCATGCTTCCACATTCATCATCTAATACATTCTTCCAGAAGTCCCAGACAATGCTAGTGTATGACTACCACCTAATGAAAAGATTAAAAGATAGGTTGGTAAGGCCCGAGGGGATAAATACGCTGCAGAGAGCACATGCTTTTTTCATATCTATAACATCTCATGTATTTTTGCCATAGACAGTCATAATTCTGGAAGAAATTGTCATTACAGCCAAAAATCAAAACCTGTTGGTTCAATATTTTCTAGTTGTGTCAATTAAAGAGATTCAAGTAGTAGCAAAACTTAAGTTTTATAGTCTAATGAAGTTATTTTGTCTAGGCTTCCTTTAATTTTTAGAGGTGAGTATTAATTTCTTTCAACCTGTTTTTTTTGTTTGTTTTTTTTTTTTGAGAGGTTTTTGCTGTAGGGCTCTTGTGCTTGCCAGACAGACAAAGACAGAGAAACAGAAAGTGAGAAATCACTCCCCAGAAGGGATGGCCACACCACATTCCCCTCTCCTCCATTCTCCTCTCGGGATATTGGTCAAACATGCACACATCCCAGGCGTGAGTTTTAAGCCACCAGGTCCGGACTCGAACTGTGGTCGACTACATGGGAGTCCAGCAACAAAGACATTAAGGTAACTGCTGGTCCCAATTTCTTTCAACCTATTTTAAAGAATATCTTTTCCCTTCCTTTCCAAACTTTAATGCCCCTAAACTTCATTACGGCAATCACACACATCCTTTTTTCAGTAACTATTACAATTGTCTGTTAATTAAAACCAACTGATCCTGAAAGATATGCTGATAAGTCCTTCCTTTTATGCATATTCTTCACCATTTACCATGTCAATGGCATGAGTAACACCGCAATAACGAAAGAAAGCTTATATGTTATCTGCTATGTAGCAGATAATGTTCAGTTAACATTTTTGCTATACAAAGCACATAATGTATTTGTAGGTCAGATGTTGACATAACATTTCTGATTGATGATAAAAATAAATGCCTGCAATGAAAACTCAGTTTCATGCGGAAGTTGAAAATGGCCCACAGAGACAAGCACCAGGAGAAAGAAGGTACATACCCCTTTAACTTGAGCAGCATCATTGGCCAGCCTTGTCGTCAATGCTCCAGTGGTGTTTTTAGGGTTATCAAACCAGCTCACATCCTGTGGTGCAGAACATGATCTTGTGACCATAAAACCCTATTTATGAGATTCCTAGCTGTAGGAGGGCAGAGACGGGGTCAGTTCTGTTTATCACGTGTACATCCCATGTTCAGCACGTGGGAGTTGACAACTGTTAGACAAGTAAGGACCTTAACCCTAAGTACATAAATATATGAGTTCATTTATCAAAAATATTTGTGAGTGCCTATTTTGTCCCAAACATGACTTCTTTTTTTTTTGCCAAGCATGATCTTTAAGTGTTAGACCTATACACAATAGTGAACTAATGTGACAAAGTCGTTTTCACAAAACCTTTGATTTAGAAGCAGAAGGCACAAACAAATAAATATATCTGAGGTCCTATGGTAAACAATGCTATGAAGAAGAACATATTGGGGTAAGAAGGACAAAGAAGTAAGAGAAGGTGCTATTCTAGAGCCCAGGGAGGGGACAGAGAAAGCGTCTCTAAGATGACATTTGAGTAGAGAAGGGAGGAGATCTGAGGGCACAAACAATCTGTGCAAAGGTGGAGGCAGAAGCATATGTGACAGGAATACACTGGCAAGATGGCCTTAAAGGCTGACAGTAGCTTGCAGAGAACCTTTGTCTGAATTTGTACCACCTGCCTCTTCCTCTGGACAGGTTTCTGTCCTCATGTGGCCCCTCTTGAGCCTCTCCTCACATCCACACGCAGTGAGCCACTGTGTATGGAGCAGATTGGGTGCTAAAAAAAGGATGATATGGTAGGACTTGAGGTCTGAGAGGTAGTGGGGACCACAGTATGCACAGCCGAGATAACTGTAAAGAAGGCAGATGGATGTGATTTGACTTATAATTTTGGAGAAGAACTCTGGCTGTTTTGAGGTGAACCCACTTGACAGAGACAAGGAAGGAGGCAGTGAAACCAGATAAGAGATTATTTCAATAATAAAAAGAGAGCGAGGAGTCAAGGACAACTCCAAGGATCTTGGCCTGAACAACTGGAAGAAAGAAGTTGTCATTTCCTGAGATGAGGGATGAGAGGGTAAGAAAGGAGGAAGCCTCCTGAGGAGGGAAAGTCAAAAGCGCAACTTTGGAAATGTTGAAGTAGGAAATGCTTATTAGACTGTCAATAGAGACGTTGAATAAGCAGTTAGATAATTGTACCTTAGTACAGAATAAATGAGCTGAGTTAAAAACAAATCAATAAAAGCAATCTAAATTGAAATATAACAATCAGCATGAAATGGTATTTCCTTTGTAAAACCATTTACAGCTTTAAATATACAAACAAAAGTATAAACTTAAAATATAGACTTTTATCTATTGCAAATAACTATGGTCTCTAAGAAATTATCTGAATTACTGACTTGCATTAAAGCAGTATATCATTTTTTCAAAAAATTTCAAACCAAGTACTATCATTTATTATAGCATGATTGATTTACTTCTCAATATCCTGAAGGGCTTAAGTATCTCCCCATTGGAAGACAGGGACTTCCGTAAAGACAGAAACCATTCAGATTTGATTGTGCCTTACAAGAAGGAGATACTTAATATGTTTGCCCTACTTAGCAATTTATGGAGGGGACATTACACAAACCATCAGCTCAGCTCCCAAAGTATAATGGTCCTAGCACTTGGCCTAGAGGTTTGCAAGTAATGGGGCATTTGGCCCTGGACCAAGGTCGGATTCAAGCCTAAGTGGAATCTCAGTTGTCAATATGGTTTGACTTAGGGTCCATGGACAGAGTACCCCATTAAACAGTGTTCTCTTTTATCCGACTCAATTCTGGTTCAGTCAGTCACTAACTGGCACAAGTATGACTTCCATTTAAGTGGTGGTGGGAGGAATAGGGAATGACTGAGGAAACCAAACAACTGGGAAACTGACTGTCCTCTCGAAATCCTAACACAGCAAATGGATGCTTCTCTGCCAGGGTTTCAGGGCCTTTGACATGTCTGGGGAAACCTCCTAAAGCCTTATTTTATTCAACGACAAGTGATTTGTGATTTAAAAATGGAGAATTATAAAGTCATATACGAAATTTTCATGATTGTTAAATAACCCCTTTGAATTAGCTGCTCTGGGACACATGTCCTTGGTCTCCCAACACCCTTCCCCAAGAAAAGCATTCACATATGTCACTGTTAGGGCTTTGCTAGAAGCATTCCATTAAGTCATCAGCTAGGATGAATCAATATGTTAGTTGAGCCCCAGCAAAGAAACTAGGTAGTGAGGAGTGGGCCATGAGATGACTTCTGAATTGTGGAAAGAAAGGGAGCAGAGGGTATCATTTGGTGGGAAGAAACAGGAGTTTCCTGGGTTTCCCAGTAGAAAGATTGAAAGAAAGGAAAGGGCTGAGGGCTGAAGGGCACTTCTACCTACACTGTCCACAAGCATCCAGGCAAAAGGCTGAAGTGAGTCCACTCTGAAGACTCCAATTATCTCAAACAACCCAGTTCCCTGTGACCATAGCAGACACACAGCAGGGCCTTAGCTTGCACCTAGGGGTGCTCCGGTCATATCTCTGAGGCGAGTGTGAGGGATGACCAATACAGGAGCTTGGGCAGAAGAGCTTGGCAGATTTCCTACTGCTGAGGAGGTCTATACACCCAAGGCACAACCCAACAGACGTACCTGTCTCAGCATGGACTTGAAAACCATGTATCGGAGCCGCTTGGTGAGAATCTCTCCAGCTTTGCCAAAAGTGAAGCCCTGTAAAGAAAAACGTGCAGCACAAGAGACTTGTCAGGGACTCAGATGCTATTTACACAGAAGAGGGGACTCAACGTCAGTGCTACAGCAGGTACTAGGTGTGGGTGCATTTGCCTGGTGGTGTAGCTGGAAGAGCCCAGTTTTGAAACTGACACGGCCACTCCCAACTAACTGATAGGCTGGTCAGGAATTAATTAAGAAATTGGTTTCTCTGTCTTTCATTACCTTTCCTACTTTATTTCCCCCCAGGGAACAGGATCTACTGCTTAGGAAGTTGGTGGTGTTCCCAAGGCATGGGACACTCTACACAAGGTGGCTGTATTATGTACAATCCAAATTGGGACATTTTTAAGAGTGAGAGAAGGACTGTTAATAATTATACCAGACCTGGGAAGTAATCAGGGCAAACAGGAATTTATGGCCACCCAGCCATGTACTGGGTCATCAGAAAAGTCATGATGTATTTTTCAATGTTTTTCACAATGAAAAAAATGTGTCATGACTTCTGACAACCCAGCAGGATTCAGAGAACAAAGAAATCAAAGTCCTAGTTTTCAAGTTGACAAAAGCAAGAGTCTAGAAGCAACATTAGGCTGACGAGGCTGGCTGAGAGTGGACAGCTGCACGGCTCCTCCCTACCCCCAACCGCCCCCACCCTGGGGAATATCACCTGTGTCTGGGACGAGGGAAGAGAGTCAGGAAAGAACACAGTAAGATGTGAGTGTGCTGCCGTGATGGGCCACACTGAGGAGGGACAACAGAATCCTCCTCACAGTGAGTTTGAAGATACAGGACTAGAGAGAAGCAGTCCTGCCTCTTTTTTCTGGACTGGGAAGTGGCAGTTTACAGATGGGCCTGCCACATAATGACATGGGGACGTAGAATGGAAATGGCCCAATGCAGAAATGGAGGCGAGGAGAGGCCCTCCAGAAGGGGAGAGACCGTGGCGACAAGTCTGAATCTCCTGGGGAATCAGAAAATCAGAGGAGGGCAACTGCGTCTCTGCTGCACTCCTGAGGAGCGTGTCGTACATTGTTGAGAGAGAGAGGAAGAAGCACATGAGAGGGAAGAAGCACACGCAAAGGGGAAAAGTTACAGCCAAATCCTAAATGTGACTGCCAGGGGGGCTCATGTCGTTGAACGCTGGATGGGGCTGCGGAGCCCTCGGGTTATCAGCACGAAGTTGGGGGCACAAAAAGCCCACAGACATACCCTCTGCCCTCTGCTAATACCGACACCAGTCCAGGGAGAAAGAGGAGGGGAACGATCTTAGAGTGGCTGAGTTTAAGTCTAAAATTACAAATGTGCTTATGCTTCGTTGGTAATGAAGATAATAAAGTTCCTCTTACTTGACTGAACGGAATGTGAAAGACCTTGCCGACTTCAGGAATATTACCATTATTACTTTTGTTGAGAGCTGGCCTTTACTCAGCACTTACTCTGACTCCGTACTTTACATACATTATCACATTAAGTCCTTATGACAACCCCGTAATCACCACTTTACAGACGAAAGCGAGGTGTAGAGAGGTTGGTAAGATGCCAGAGTCAGCTAGAAAGTGGCAGATCTGGAATCCAAATCCAAGACCGTGAGACTCCCAGCCAGCATGAGAACCCAGAACCTGAGCTGTTAATCGCCCACTGAGCTTCCTCCGTTTCTAAAATGAGAAGGTGAACATTTGGCCATCTTCAGGCCTTGTGCTATCTCCACAGTTTTGCGGTCCTGTAACTCACCTTGTGCTCACCTTGGCGCATCTGGCAAGCCAGACTCTTAGCACCAATGTTTAAACTTCCTTTGCTTCTCCAGTCCAAACTAACAGAATTTAGGGAACTAGGTCAGAGCCCACTTCCCTCCAACCCCTAAACCAGCGTCACGCTGAGCAATGTTTATTTTCTCCACACACCCATGGCTTTAAGAGTTGGTGTGGCGATCTTGTATGGGGTTAGAGTGTCACTTTTATTCTAGGCAGGTCAATTTTCTCAGTGAGACTTAAAGTATTTAGTGAAGGAAGAGTCAGTCTTTTTTCTTTGGCATTTCCTATGATGTTCTGAACACTATTCTTTTAAGAAATTTAATACATGCTTACAAAATGTTAAATAAAAAACATTTAGAGTTTTATCTAAAAAAATTACATATTGTGAATCATTCAGTTAATAAGTGATTGAGGGGAAAGCAGGTGGTGTGGTGGTTGAGCTACCATACTGCCACTAGGCTGGCTGTGGTTCAAGTCCTAGACCTAGGGGCTTCCTTTCTCACTCTCTCTCTCTCTCTGTCTCCCTCTGGTCACATGAAAAGACAAATAATAACAAATAAAATTAAATAAATAAATCTTTAAAAAAAAATTGATTATTACACACAGGCCTGGGTCACATGACCTCTTTACTGAGGCTTAGACAGTTAAATTACTTGCTTGTTCAAGGACACAATACTAGAAACAAGTGGTACTCAAATCTAGATCTCACACCAAACCCCAAAATGCCTTACCATTCTAAGCTTTTAGAGTACTCAGTTCTCTTGCAATTTTACTTCAGCCAAATGATGTGCAAGTTGTAAAAATCTGACTCTATAAAAATGTTTCTTACTGTTTTTGTCTGAGGATTGACATTCTTCTGAAGGGCTCATTCTACTTCAGCAAAAGTTAAATAGTAAATTCTTCAAACCCTTTTTAATTCAGTACGACCTACTTAGGGGGTTCGGTTTGTTTGTTGTTTTTGATTTCAGAACACAGAAAAACAGGGAACCAGCAGTTAGCGTAATGGTTATGTCGCTGGATTCCCACGTAGTCAACTGTGGTTCACATCCCAGACCAGTGGCTTAAAACTCACGCCGGGCATGTGTGCGTGCGTGCCCAAGATCCTGAGAGGAGAATGAAGGACAAGGGATTGCGGCATGACCAGCCCCTTTGGGGGGTGATTTCTCGCTTTCTGTCTCTCTCTGTCTGTCTGGCGAGCGTACGCACCCTATAGCGAAAACCTCTCAAAAAAAAAAAATTGGAATATTTAAATTGATGGCAGTACCAATATCCAAATTTATATTGAGCTTCCCAAATCCTATTTTTGAACCCTAACTTTGTTCCAATTATATTTTCCTCTGGCTTTATTAATAGCTCCAGTTGGAGAGGAGAAGATGGGGAAAGAAGGTGAGGAAGCCAGAGGAGGGGAATGTCTTTGCTTTATATACATATCAAAGAAACGTCTGTTAGTAGCCAAGATAACAGAGAACTAATTCTACTACAGGGAAAATTTCACTGTTCATGAACTTCCCTGTTGAAAAATAATGCATTTCCCAAAATGAATAAAGAAAAAATGTAGACATTTACCTGAAGGAAAAATGTAATAAAAGAAATAATCCCAAGGACTAGAAACAAGAGTGAAAACATATTACTATTTTGCCGTTTCGTTTCATCATCATCATCATTTCTTAGAAAAACCTGTAAGAAAATATTTAAAGGTTTTTAGTTCAATCACTGGAGTCATTCTGGGTCTGACCTAATTCCCACCCAGCCCAGTACAAAACTCAGGAGAGCCTTAGAATAGGGGAGTCAGGGATGGCTTCCCCAAGGTCAACTCAAAGGTATCTCTATTCTGCCTTCCTTTGAGGCTGAGAATGGAATGCGTCTTTCACTCATAAAGTGACCCAATATTTTTATGCTCATATTCCCTCCTGGAACAATGCATGCCACCCCTGCTGTGTAAAGTAGAAATGAGAACAAACGCTCCTCTTCCCCTGGTGGGGAATTAGGTTTATAACGTAAACTCATTATTTTAGTCTCTGGACTTCGCAAACTGCCCTCTAGTATCTGGAGCAAATCTGGTGGTGTGGCTTTGGTAAATGGAGACATGGTTATTCACTCAGCCCAGGCCTTTCACAAAGGAGGAGAATTCCTTGAGCCAGCCTACTTTGCAGGATGGCCAGGTGGGACCCACAACCAGCTGACCTAGCACCGTCATGGAAACCTTTCCAGAAGTGGTTAAAGGAATGAGGGTGGTGGCTTGGGCTTAAAGAATACAGAGGATGGAACCAGCAGTTAGCGTAATGGCTAACCGGACCCAATGATTTAAACTCACACCAGGCGCATGTGCGTGCGTGCCCAAGATCCTGAGAGGAGAATGGAGGAGAAGGGATTTCGGCGTGGCCATCTCCCCTGGGGGGTGATTTCTCGCTTTCTCTCTCTGTCTCTCTCTCTCTCTTTCTGGGTGCACCGGTTGCCAGTGTCAAAAAAACCCCTCAAAAAAAAAAAAAAAAGAATACACAGGATAATGACTTCAGAGGAAAAAAATACATACATATCACCCTTCAAGTAGGACAAAATCTTGTAAGAGAGTGACATTCCCAGCCCAACCCAGACAACTTTATCCCTTGGAGAGAGAAAAAAAATTATTTTTAGAAGAGATTAAAATCAATAATCAGACATCAATTTAAACCAATCCACTTTTCCTGACTAGTCAATCCAACAAAAATAATACGTAACAATGACTGCATTCTTCCTCTGTGCCAGGCTTACTTCCAAGAAGATTTTCATGAATACTATTCTCTTTATCCTCACAACTATGTCCCGAATAGGGGAGTCAGGGATGGCTTCCCCAAGGCCAACTCAAAGGTATCTCTATCCTGCCTTCCTTTGAGGCTGAGAATGGAATGAGTCTTTCATTCATAAAGTGACCCAATATTTTTATGCTCATATTCCCTCCTGGAACAATGCATGCCACCCCTGCTGTGTAAAGTAGAAATGAGAACAAACGCTCCTCTTCCCCTGGTGGGGAATTAGGTTTATAACGTAAACTCATTATTTTAGTCTCTGGACTTCGCAAACTGCCCTCTAGTATCTGGAGCAAATCTGGTGGTGTGGCTTTGGTAAATGGAGACATGGTTATTCACTCAGCCCAGGCCTTTCACAAAGGAGGAGAATTCCTTGAGCCAGCCTACTTTGCAGGATGGCCAGGTGGGACCCACAACCAGCTGACCTAGCACCGTCATGGAAACCTTTCCAGAAGTGGTTAAAGGAATGAGGGTGGTGGCTTGGGCTTAAAGAATACAGAGGATGGAACCAGCAGTTAGCGTAATGGCTAACCGGACCCAATGATTTAAACTCACACCAGGCGCATGTGCGTGCGTGCCCAAGATCCTGAGAGGAGAATGGAGGAGAAGGGATTTCGGCGTGGCCATCTCCCCTGGGGGGTGATTTCTCGCTTTCTCTCTCTGTCTCTCTCTCTCTCTTTCTGGTGAGCACACGTGCCCTGTAGCAAAAAAACCTCTCTGAAAAAAAAAAAAAAAAGAATACACAGGATAATGACTTCAGAGGAAAAAAATACATACATATCACCCTTCAAGTAGGACAAAATCTTGTAAGAGAGTGACATTCCCAGCCCAACCCAGACAACTTTATCCCTTGGAGAGAGAAAAAAAATTATTTTTAGAAGAGATTAAAATCAATAATCAGACATCAATTTAAACCAATCCACTTAATGGAGGAGAAGGGATTTTCAGCGTGGCCATTCCCCCTAGGGGGTGATTTCTATCTCTCTGTCTCTGTCTTTCTGACTAGCGCACGTCAGCAAAAACCTCTCCAAAAAAAAAAAGAAAAAAAAAGTTGTTTTATTATCATCACATTTTACACAGAAAGAAGCTGGAGCACAGAGATCTCAGTTGACTTACTCAGGGTTCAGTGGCCAGCAAGGAAGGAGTCGAGCCATTTCTTTAATGATAACAGATGGCTGGTGGTACCTACTCAGCCGCTAGGTGTTAACCACCTTCAGATTTATTGTTATGTGAACAATGAGAAAAATATAAAACTGAGTTTTTGTTACAAGGAGCCAAACCCATTCCTAACATACTGACTTTGATGTTTCTGACGAACCCCACTGTCTACCCGCTGCCTGTAAGACACATGATAGGACAGGGATCAGTGAACTCTGAATGCAGCCAAGCTCACGTACTTCTATACTGGCTATGGCTGCTTTTGCACGATAAGGGCAGAGCTGAGTATTTCCAGGAAGCTCTATGGCCTACCAGGTCTAAAATATTTAGCAAATTGCCTTCTACAGAAAACATTCGCTGACCCCTGTCCTAAAGATGTACGCTCCATGGAATCACACATTTTGTTTCCTTCTCAGTGTTCTCAGCACCTAGAAAAATACCTGACACAGAGTAAGCGCTGGAGAAATTTTTCTTGAATGATCCCTTTAAACATAAGTATCCACCTGAATCAGTTAGCCACGTACAGGTAGATCTGAATAGTTACATACGTTTTGGTAAAATAATCAGAAATAATAATAAGAGAGTTAAAAAGAAAATGTTAGGACCAGCTCTGTAGCGCAGCAGTAATGTACTGTTCAAGGAGAGCTGGATCCCACGTGATGGCTACAGGTTCAAATACCCGGCCTAGTCAGCCTGAAACATGCCAGGCATGAACGACAGTGCCCAAGATCCGATAGGCTGGAGGACAGGAGCAATGCCAGACCCTTTGGAGGTGCTCCTCTCTCTCTCTCTCTCTCTCTCTCTCTCTCTCTCTCTCACACACACACACACACACACACACAAATGTGCATGTGCTCTATCATGAGTAAAGGGAAAAACAAGCTAGTGTTTGGCTTATTCTTGTAATAATCAACATCTTTCTCCACAATGTTATCAGCAGTATGGCTTGATGTTTGAATATCTGTCATTAAACAGAGAGGATTCCTGCCCAGATCGTATCTTCGGTATTTAGAAACGCAACCATTAAAATCTGGTGAAACCAACACATGCCAATCTCAATCTTTAGGAAGCTGTGGGATGAAAATTACACCTTCCAGAGGGAGTATGCTCATGCGTAAAAGGTGTGTGTTAAAGAACAGCTCTCTCAAATTGGTTTGAAAAACACATGAGGAACTCTCTCTGCACATTCATGAGATGAAAGTTGATGAGGTTTGCCCAGACCCTAATGTAGACAGGTCTGGGAAAGTCATCTCACCAGTTTCACTGACTATGTCAGGGAACCCAACGCCTTGGGATGGAAATCAGCTGCCAGAAGTTAACAAAATCAGCTTTCCTCTCACAACCTAGTCCTCTAGTCTTACACCTTCAAGCAGCTACTTTCACACAAAGGTACCTGTTTCTGTGGTTAGGTACTGACACAAATACAGCTAATTCATTCTGTAGTCAGGACTCACAAAAAATCAACCCCATAGAGACATAAACACTTACCCCTACAATCCTTGAAAATATTACTGAAAATGCTGGTTGTAGACCTCCATTTATAATGGCACAAAATATCCCAACCAGAAAATAAGGCCATTCAGTTAAATTCATCTTCAGAATCCTCCAAAAGGAAACTGGAGGTACATTTTCATCCTGGAAAATACAAAATAGTGTAACAGGCTAGTTATAAAGAATTGAAGCCCATCATGGGGAGTAGAGCATGCAGCTCAGGTATGGATCCCGGGGTGACTTAAGCATGCCGAACATGTGTGCCTGTGATCCTGGAAGGCTGGGAAGCTGGGGGAAAGATCACAGTACGGTGAGACACTGCCTAAGAGACCTGTTACTCTCTCTCTCTCATAAAAGATATGAACTTTAATTCTTAAAAATATAACTGATAAATTATTTTACACTGTACATGTCTACATGCACAAAAATTTCCAAGTTGATATAGCATATCTTTTTTTTTTTAATTTCCAGAGAGCAAATGTGCTTGTTAGAGAGAAAGAGAAATCACCCTCCCCCCAGTGGGGGGTTGTCATACTACAATCTTTTTTCTTCCATTTCTCCATTCCATTAGAATTTGGGGCAGGCACACATGCATGCCCAGTGTGATTATTGAGCTCCAAGAGCTGGGATTCTAATCCCATTTGGCCATATGGGATCCAGATTTCTGTGGACAGGGCTTAACTGTTCTGCTACAGAGACAGCCCTGAATATATCCTGTTCCCATTTCTTATAAACTGGCGACTATTTAGCTTTTTTTTTTTTAAAAAAAATGCTGACATATTCCACTGCAGTACTCCTTTCTGTTTGAAGAAATGAACATGTTGACAAATTTTTATTTCTTACCTGACATTCAGAACATGACAATAAGATTTACAAGAAGGGATAAAATGAAAATAGAAATGTTGCTCTTTAAGAAGACCCTCTCTAGTGTCTATAAATTATGTATTCAAATTCTAAAAACCTTGTCCTATAAATTGTCATTCTTAAACTCTCAACTGATTCTAAAATATTGACATTTTGGTTTGTGGAACACTCTGAAAGTAAGACAGGAGAGAGAATGCCAGAAAACCTTTTCCTGTTCCCATTCCCACCACAGCCCACCAAACTTGGGGAACTATAGTAAGAGGGTTCAACGTGTAAAACTGTCCATCCTCCTCGTACCTCAGCCTCTTTTGTGGTAAGATTTCTGTCTTGGTTTTGTGATCCACGGACACTCCTGCGAGATGATCTTCTTCTTATTAGACTGGATCCCGAATCTTTGGGAGACATTTCTATGGCATCAGTTTCACTTTTGGATTCAACAGTCATACATTCTAATTCGATTTCACTTCCCACCGTCTAAAATACACAAGAAATATTCATATGCTCATTAGGCTCAGTCAACCAATGAAAATTAGGCACTGAACAACAGCTATCTAGAAAAATGATAACTTGTTTAATAATAGAAAAGAGTAAGTTAAACTACTGTTCCTTCTTGTGTGTGTATAATATATGTGAAAATGGAAACCACTAAATAAGTTTTTCCATTGAATGTGCTAAACAACATGCCATCTATCCCATGTACCTTATCTAGTCATCTCCCTTTTGTGAGTGGTTGGCTCAGGGAAGTTTGCTTCAGATCAGAACTGTCAATGGAAACATGGTACAAGCCGAACCATGAGCTGCATTTGCCATTCAAATTTTTCTAGTGGCTACAGCAGAAAATGGGAAAAGAGTCAAAATCGACTTTAATTACATTTTATTTAACCTATTATATCCATGATATTATTGCTATCCAATGATATTATCATTTCAACGTATAATTGATTTAAAATTATGGAGATATTTTGCCTTCTCTTTTTTGGACTAAGTCTTTGGAATCTGGTGTACATTTTCAACTTAGGACACTTCAATTCAGACTACCATTCAAATGGCCAATTAGCCACATGTGGTTAGTGGCTACCAAGGTGGATAGCTTTTAAAATTATGGAGATATTTTGCCTTCTCTTTTTTGGACTAAGTCTTTGGAATCTGGTGTACATTTTCAACTTAGGACACTTCAATTCAGACTACCATTCAAATGGCCAATTAGCCACATGTGGTTAGTGGCTACCAAGGTGGATAGCTTACCTTTAAAATTTTTCTTTTATATACATTTTATTTGTATACATTTAATTACTGTATATCATTACAGCATGCAAAATGAATTTTCCTAGCATGAATATACTGCATATTAATCCAGTTAAAGATATTATGATACATATTATCTTCAAAAGATAATTTTCCAATTTTATATCCCTTAAATGTTTGCTTCTTTAAACTTTTCTCTAATTATCCTTATTTTTGAGAAATTTTTGCTATAGGACACGTGCACTCGCCCAAGAGACAGAGACAGAAAGCGAGAAATCACCCTCCTTAGAAGGGATGGCCACACCACAATCCCCTTTCCTCCATTCTTCTCTTGGGATTTTGGGCATGCACACATATGTACCTGGCATGAGTTTTAAGTGGCCAGGTCCGGGACTTGAACCACCATGTGAGTCCAACAATGTAACCATTATGCTATATGCTGGTCCCTATCCTTCCTTATTTTTTGCTCCTTTTTAAGAGAAAAAAAAAATCTAAAACACCAAACTGATTATGAGTTCACCCAAGCATTTTTTCTGCTTTTCAAGATAATTAAATCAAAGGACATTCATTAAATGCAGCACAATCAGCCTATCCCTGGGAAAATTTAGGAAAATTCTAGAAGTACACTATACCTGCATGGTGACTAGTTTGAAGTAAATGCCTTTCTCTTTCATCAGTTCCTCATGACTTCCTTTTTCCACGATGACTCCATCATCAAAACCAGCAATGACGTCAGCGTTACGCACTGTGGACAAACGATGCGCTATCACAATGGTGGTCCGGCCTTTCCTAGCCTAAAGAGAGAGCAATTTGGCTTTTGAATATATTACCAATTACTGGTAAAAACTGACTTCTTCAATTTGCATTTACTAAACACCAGTGCTCTGGACATTATAAAACTATCAAAGCTACAGAAAATAGTCCCTGACTATCTTCTGTAATCGTCCATTGATAGAGTCTAAATAGTCCCTGACTATCTTCAAAAATCGTCAATTGATAATAGTCTAAATGATGTTTTATTATAAAAATACAAAAACACATATAACATATGCATTTTAATATTACATAACACTATTAGTTTAAATTTGCAGTGATTATCAGGAATTTACACAAAGTAAAATCACAGCCCAGGCATTAACTAATCAAAACCAGCACAGGCCAGCTTGCTTTTCTGGTATACACCAGCTAGTGGCCAGCCCTAGGGAACATAATGTCCCATTTCACAGAACCATGTGGATGATCAAGACAGACAATAAAACAAGGCAGACAAATGCAGTTTTGCTGTCATTTGAGTTCAACTTAAATTCTACTTCTGTCATTTATGAATTCCAGGATTTTAACAAAGTGTATTAACTTGTGTGCGGCTCAGCCTATTCATCTGTAAAATGGGGATAATAGCAGCACTCACTCACAGGGGGCAGCTGTGATGACTCAATAAAATAATGCACTTGAAGCACAGAGCACTGTGACTTGCATATAGCAAGTTCTTAGTAAATGATACTTATTCCTGGGTAGAAGCGTTACGGAAAACTCGAAAAATTTTCTAAAAGTTTTAAGTGCCTAGTCTTTTTTTAAAAATTTGAATATGATACAAAACCAGATAAACAAACTTGTCTGAGATGTCTTTAACTTTTACTAATTTTCCCAGTGCTTAGGAGTGTCACTACTCTATATTTCTCTGTATTTCTCTCCAGTAACTAACAATAAAATTCTCAAAGTGAAGGAGTGGGGAAGCAGCCCCAATTCCATCTGCTTCTATTTGGATTCACAGAATGTTTAGTAACCTGCTCTCCCCGCCACCCCCCAACAATTTGTTAACTGCACTGATAGTATTTTTAAAGCAACATACAGTGTAGTTTCATTAGAGAGGGGCTAATTAGAACAAATACACTTTGATCGCTGCAATCTACTTTGACAGCTCAACTCAGAGCACCCAGCACAGAGCAAGCACTTCAGTCCTATTTGTCCAGTGGCACGTGACTTAAGAATGATAGGACAGTCACACGGTGGCTAGTAAAGGGCATTTCACGGCTCAGGTAGATTTCTAACATCAAATTCTCTCTGCCCCTCTGCTGAGGATAAAAGGTTCCTTATTTCCCATACGGGCTTCAAGTGGCAATTTACATCTTGGAAGCTAAATGTGAACCTTTAGATTGTACTTCCCTCTTGTTGACAACATGACAAATTCTCAAAACCTATATAACATGGTTATAACATCCCTATAGCTAAGTTTTCAAGATGATAATGAAGACCAATTTTTATATATCTACATTTCTCATTGTTTAATTTATAAATTGTGCAAGTCACAATTTTAAAAAAGAACAGAGAAATAAATAGAAATTGAATAAGCAAACAAAAAAGATTTCGAACAGGGCTAATACTTATATTTTTAACAAGTGAAAGGAATCCCCTAGAAGTGATGAGAAATTTCCTTTTATGAGACTATGAATGTTAAGAAGAATTAGCAGTGGGATGTTCTTTTGCTTATAAGTCAGATGAATCAGACTCAGCTCACCGACCTTATCCAGAGCCGCCTGAACCACTGCTTCACTCTCTGTGTCCAAGGCTGACGTGGCCTCATCCAGCAGCAGGATCTTGGGGTTGCGAACCAGGGCCCGAGCGATGGCAATCCTCTGTTCCTGTCCTCCACTCAGCTGGGCACCTCTCTCTCCAACCAGGGTGTCAAATTTCTACAACAGAACACATAGGAGGACTTAGCAAAAGAAGAAGCTATCTCCTGTCACATTTTAAACATGGAAGTAATCCATAAACCACCCAAGTCTCAGGAAACACAATCCAGTTCTTTAAAACTTAGCAAGAACCAATCCCAGTTTAAGAAATATGTCTACTACTGGGACCAGCAGTTGGTGTAATGGCTATGTCGCTGGACTCCCATGTAGTCGACTGCAGTTCAAGTCCTGGACCTGGTGACTTAAACTCACTCCGGGCGCATGTACATGCATGCCCAAGATCCTGAGAGGAGAATGAAGGAGAAGGGACTGTAGCATAGCCCTTCCCCCTGGGGGGTGAGTTCTTGCTTTCTGTCTCTCTCTCTCTCTTTTTCTGGCAAGCTCATGCACCCCATAGCAAAAACCTGTCCAAAAAAAAAAAAAAATGTCTACTACTAGCTGATACTGGTAGAGCTCTAAAATACAAACTAGAGCCAGCAGGTGCTATGGTGGTTAAGGCAGTGGCTCTCATATGCCCAACTCCATGGTTCAAGTCCCAGACCCAGAGGCTTAAAAACGCATTGGATGCATGTGCATGTGTGGCAGAAATCCTGAGAGGAGAATGGGAGGATAAGAGATTATGGTGTGGCCATCCCCTGCCTGGTAGTGATTTCTTACTTTCTCTGTTTCTATCTCTTTTTGGTGAGCACACACACTCTATCAAAAAACAAACAAACACACAAACAAAAAAAAAAAACAACTAAAATAAATAAAAATAAAATATGAAGTAATCTTGATTATTCTTATGAACATTCTCCAATTTGTAGGAGATTCCTGACTTCCTATGCATGAGTACAACATTCTATTCTTTGCACCTTGAGAACAATAAAGGTCGAGAAGAACTCACGTGAGGTAGTTTCATGATAAAGTCATAGGCGTTGGCTTCCTTGACAGCTTTCTCAATCTCATCCATGGTGACATTTTCACGGCCATAGCGAATGTTTTCAGCTATCGTGGTGGCAAACAGCACAGGTTCCTGACTCACCACACCAGTGATTTCCCGCAGATATCTGACATTTATGGTCCTAATGTCTTGCCCGTCAATACTGACCTGGAATTAATAGCAGGTGTGATTTTCATGCATTTGTAGTTGAAATGACAACACTGCAATGGTCTGCAATGGAAACTGCTGCAGCTGAAGTGTCTCTCTCAGCAAGAGCCTTACCACGCCCTCCGTGGGGTCATAGAGCCTCTGCATCAGCTGGACCGTCGTGCTTTTCCCACAGCCGCTGTTCCCAACCAGAGCCACCGTCTGCCCACTCTGCACCTTCAGGTTGAGGCCCTTCAAGATCTACCAGCACAAGTGAGAAATAAGCTTTAAGGCAGTTCACAGATGGAAGGCCTATGAGCTGATGGTTCAATTCAATATTTGGTTTAAGAAACATGTATCTTGCTTTTTTCCCCCTACATTCTCTAAAGTAAAATATCAGAGACTTCATCCATACATTGTTTTATCACAGATTAATCATGTATAACTGTACCTTAACTTCTTTTCGAGATGGGTAACTGAAGTGAACATTTCTGAATTCCAAATTTCCCTTAATATTATCTGGCTTGTGCCCATTCTTCGAATAGCTGTCAATATTTGGCTTCTAAAAGAATAAAATATCAGGAGATTACTAGGTTATAGTAAGTAATTTCAGGGACATTTTGTGGAAAGCTGGGTAAAGCGCTAAAGAAATGAACCCGTAACTAGACAATCTTTTAGACAGATGGATAAATCCTGCTCAGACTTACATTATCAATTATCTTGAAAATTTCATAGGCTGCTCCTCTTGCATTTGCAAATGCTTCAATGCTTGGAGATGCCTGTCCAACACTGAAAGCTCCAATTAACACAGCAAAGAAGACCTGAGGAAGGAAAAGGAAAACCATCCAGTTACTTAGTGTTTAGTATAATTTGTTTCAAACTTCCTTTTCTCCTTCTAACAAAATTAATTAAATTCCTTTTTTAAAGAATTATTTATTTAATTTTATTTGTTATTATTAATTTTAAAATTCGAACAAAAAGACACAGAGAGAGGGAGAGAGAAAGAGAGAGGGAAGGTGAAAAAGCAAGCCACCAAGTCCAGGACTTGAACCATGGTCAGCCATGTGGGAGTACAGCTCCTTAACCACCATGCCACCTGCTCATCCTATAATTAACTAAATTCTAAAATGGCAAGGCAATATGAAGATCAGGTGTTTAAAATATTTTAAAGTTTTGGGGCCGGCAGGTGGCGTGGTGGTTGAGGGCACTGGACTCCCACATGGCTGACCATGGTTCAAGTCCTGGACTTGGTGGCTTGCTTTGTCACCTTCCCTCTCTCTTTCTCTCTCTGGTCAGATTAAAATAAATAAATAAATAAAATTAAGTTGAATTTAAAAAAATTTAAAAAACATTTTTAAAGTTTATAACTAAGAGAAAATTTCAAATGTTTCACAATTTAAAAATGTCAAGTGAGGTGACAGGCATGTTAGCAGCTTGATTTACTCACTTCATATTTTGTACATATCTCAGAACACATTAAACTCCCTGAGTGCAATATAACTATAATTTGTTGATAAAAAGTATGTAAATTTTTTGGTCCAGCAAGTGGCGTGGTGATTAAGGTGCTGGACTCTCACATGGCCAACCATAATTTCAGTCCTGGAACTGGAAGCTTTCTTTCTCACTTTTCTCCTCTCTCTCTCTCTCTCTCTCTGTGTGTGTGTGTGTGTGTGTGTGTGTCTGGTCAAAATAAAGAATGATAATGGTAATAAATAACATTAAATAAAAAAGTGTTCAAAAATAATACAAATTTTTAAGTAAGAGTAAAAATTTTCTAAGCTTAAATACCTTTTAGTTTAGAATTCAGTTTTAGCCATATTTGCTCAGTGAGAAAATGCTTTAAGTTCTATTGCAGCAGAAAATCATAATAGAACATTTTGATAAGAATCTTTATTTAGATATCAGCAGGGTAAAGTGGAAACAAATGTCAGTTGAGTCAGAAGACTCAGGTTTGAATCCCGAGTTAGTAGCAATTAGCTAGCTATATGTTTTTAGATTATTTTCTTAGAATCTTTGGCTTTGATTTCTTTGTTTGCAAAATGGTCAAGTTTCTACCTTCTCTCTCCCTGGCAACCTTCGAGATGTTGTATCAGATGTGACAATGCACATAAAAATATTTATAAATGATAAAGTACACATGCTTAAGACATGGTTTTTTTCCAATGAGATAGAGCAGAAGGACGAGGGGGGGGCAGAAAGAGAGGAGTGTTTTTATGAGTCTCATCACGTGTAATCCTCTTGTTCTAGCCTCCTAGCTAGCTAGGAACACAGATAGCCTCGCTTCACTTGTGGGTCTAAGGCATGATTCTCTACCAGGTTGTCTTTTCTTTTTTCCTGCCAGACTCTCTCTGAGGCTTGATAAATAGGTTTTTGAAATCTTTTTGTTTGTTTTACAGAAATTACTTTCTTATTGTTAAAGACTTTTCTGTGCTTTTCTTTTTTTTTCTTTCATTTATTTATTTTTACATTTTTACACAAACATTTCCTTTCATAGCAAAAAATTTTAGCTCATACTCCATAATTCTTGACAGTTTACAAACAACTTTCAAAATTTCAAAATACTGAATTTTAAAGATAATGTTCAAAATATGTCTTATAATTTTGTATAATTTTATGACTCTATAATAACAGAAGCAGTATGGTTTCAAATTTTCTGTGCTTTTCTTCAGGGTTAAAGAATTATTTATTTTTTTCTGATTCATGTGGAATTATACTGCCCAATAATTTAGGCAAAAGGAACTTTGTTAAGTGATTCTATACTCATTATTTCAATTCCTCTTTATAACACTAAATGGGAGGGTACAATACTCTTATCATATCCATTTGGCAGAAGAGGTAACGGAAGCTTTAAAAGTTTATATTCATGCCCCAAATCATACAGTTAGTAAGTGGCACAGCTGGAATTTGAATCAAGTGGGTCTGATACCAAATCTCACTATTCTGAAGACCTTTAGTTTGAAGGCAGATTTGGGTTCAGTGAATACTGACATTAAACTGCTTATCTATAACATAAGTGATGGAATACATCTCTTAACATGACCTAGGCACACCCACAGCATCATTACCCTTAAAAAAGTTTTTTGGTAAAAGCCATTCTTGACTGAACAACCTCACAAATGTTGGATGAGGCAATAGTTTGGAAAAAGAGGAGAGGTGATTATTACATACATGATACAAATATGGTTCATGGAAAAGGGAACAATTTTAAGGGACTCAATATGGTCTCTCATTAACTCTATATATTTTGCTCTCCTTCTAAGAAATTACTTTTTTAACAGTAACTTTATTACATCAATAAATAGATTGAGTTTGGTTTATAAATTATTTCATTTTCTTTAAATAAAAGAAAATAACAATGTCAAGTTATCTATGCTTATACAAAGATCTATAACATGGAAAACTTCCAAATAGAATATTCTATTTGGAAGAGTAGTAACTTAAACTTCTATAAATTTGTGATGTGAACCAGCTGTCATTGAAAAGAATTTGAAAAGAAGGTAAACTGTGTATCTGCCATCTTTTTTGGGAACAATAAATTAGAAAGTAAAAGTGAAGTGCTTAGCATCAAGTTTGACAGAAAGGAATAATCTCGACAAATCAAAGTTCATGCCATGGAGATTGGTAATGTTTCGTATAGTTTAGGCTACAGGAGAAACTGTGCAAATGATACGCAATGAAGACAACAAACCTGGTTGCTGGGCGCATCTAATTTCCTTTCTACTTTTTAGCCTAGTAATGCCTATCTGTTTGTATTATTCAATAGTTCTTCAAAATATATTCTTCTAATGTCAAACCAACACCCGCTGACTTCACTGGCATCTTAAATAATGATTTGTTTCTTAATATGACACCACTTACAGTCAGGACTTTCCCAATCGTATATTCTTTTGAGATGACCAAGGAGGTCCCATACCAGAACGCCAGGGCATATGATGCATAGATCAACAGGAAAGCAGCACCCATAGAAATGTTGGCTGTGACAGCTTTTTTAATCCCAATTCTTTTAGCTTCTTCTAAATTTTTATTGTACCTAGGTCAAAGAACAAAAACAATCACATATACTCATCAGCCTTATAAAAATATGTCAATGTAGCATGATTATCAAGTAGACTGCACCCAGCCCTTTGAAACGCATATATTTTCTTTGCCCATACATTGACTTTAGGTTAGTACTACTTTATTCCCTTGTTTTAAAAGGTAAAACTAAGAGTTTAAGAGTTTTACAGAGTTTAAGTTAGTTGTGGACTAGTCTTCTAAAAGCTCCTGGCCTCTGCTGGCCTTAACAACAGTGAAATAGGTACAGTGATATTTAGCCAACTTCCATAACTTGTATTGTTTTACACACAAGACAAAATAGACACCATGAGAAAATTTGCACCTCTTCTTCAAAATCTATATGGCTCTTTGGTTAATTAACAAAATATAAATGTAATGATACAAAGTGCTGATCATGAGAAAGTCATTTAAATCTCTGAACCTTAATGGAGCCTTGGAGACAACTTGCTCCCTGCCCTGCCTTTCTCTGGGACTATTAGAAAAATCAACTGAGAGGGCTGACCCTATAGTCTAGTCACTAAGGGAGCCAAATTCCATATGGCTAACCACAGTTCCAATCTTAGCCCCAGTGACTTGAAAAACACACCAGGCATGTGTGTGTGTATCCAAAGTCCCAGTAGCATGGAGGGATGAAGAAGGGACTGCAGTGGGACCATACCCCATCAGGGGATACTTTCTCCTGCTTCCTGTCTCTCTGTCCCTAACAAATGCATACCCCCTGACAAAATTAAAAGAAAAAAAAAGAAAAAGAAAATTCAACCAAGAGGTTACATGTATGAGAACATTTTGAAAACTGTGAACTGCTACATAATAATTTTTACATTTAAATAAGCTTTATGGGCAGGCCCACAGTGTAGAGGTTGAGCGCTGTGAATGGTGAGCCAGATCTCATGTGGCTAACCTCAGTGCAAACCCCAGTCCCGATAGCATGAAAAACATGCAGGGTATATGTGCATATGTACCCAGGATCCTGACAGGATGGAGGAATGGAGAAAAAAAGGATTGTGGCATGACCATACTACATTAGGGAGAGTGTGCATGTGCTTGCTTACTCTGCTGAGTACACACACCCTCCTGGCAATTAAAAAAGAAAAGATAAATAAGCTTCATCTTATTTTCATTGACATTTATTTTAAAAATATGGAACTATAAAAATTATTTAGTTTAAAAAGATAGAATAGTCCATTGTTGGGACTAGCAGTTGGCATAATGGCTATGTTGATGGACTCCCATGTAGTCAACTGCGGTTCGAGTCTCGAACCCAGTAGCTTAAAACTCACGCTAGGAGGACCAGCAGATAGTGTAATGGCTATGTCGCTGGACTCCCACATAGTCGACGGTGGTTCGAGTCTCAGACCCGGTGGCTTAAACTCACACCAGGTACGTGTGCGTGCGTGCCCACGATCCCATGAGGAGAATGGAGGAGAAGGGATTGCGGCATGGCCATCCCCCCTGGGGGGTGATTTCTCGCTTTCTATCTCTCTGTCTCTCTCTGTCTGTCTGACGAGCGCATGCACCCTATAGCAAAACCCTCTCTAA